AACTACAAATATTTGCATGAATTATAAAAGAAAATTTATGATGTAAAAGATTTCTCATGTTAAATTAAAGATTTATATATTGATATATTCATATGAAAATCTCCATCCATAACCTTGAAGACTAGAGAATTAGTATTGAATAGAATGATGTAAACTATAATTAGTTAGAAGTATTCACTACTGTTTTTCTAGTTGTTTTGTCTGCAAGGTCAGGATTAGTTTAGCCTCCAGCCGTATCAACTGCTATTTATATGGTGGAGATTTGTATATGAATACAACATCTATCTATCTATCTATCTATCTATCTATCTATCTATCTATATATATATATATATATTATAAATTAATTGATTTAAAATATGTTTTTTTTTCCGCTACACAGTTCTAACCATGTTTCAAAAATGGAAGCTAAAAGCCACGAATTTAATTTTGCAATTAAATTAAAGACATTAGTTCCATTTCATCCTCAAGCGAATTATTCTATCTATATTCATTCATCTTATCTATTTATCTATCTATCTATAATCTTGAGGTGAAAAAGGAAACAAACAAAAGAGGAAAGAAAAGGAAAATACCAAACAATTAACAAAAAAAAAAAACCAAAATACTAGTTAATTCTTTGAGAAAACAGGATCTCTAGAAAACTGGAAATGCAATTAATGAAGCCAAACAGCATAGACAATGTGTTAAAATGTGGAGAAAAGTGAAAAACCATGATAACATCATACAATCAAAATCCCACAGAAAAAAATATCCTAGTCTCAAAAACACTTTGAATCTCATTTCAACCTTGACCAGACTAAACTTACGATGCCCACAGAAATGGAATACATACCAATATTCATCCAACCATTACAAAATCTGTCTCCAAACATATACACTAATGAACCTAATGATGAGGAATTTAAGAAAGTTGTTAAAAAAACTAAGGAATAATAAAGCATCACATGACAATGAAACTGAACTTTTGAATATAGCTTACTTTATTCTTGAATTAAATAACAAGTTTCTCTTTTGAAGCCCTTAAAAATGAATGGGCATTTTTAGAATTTAGTAATATATTCATCTAAATTGATGTCTGTAAATCTAGATCAAAACATAGAAGAACTTAATAATGTTATAATATTGTTAGGTGAAGCATATGTGGCCATCCCAAGAAGACCTACTAGAAAAAATATATACCATTGGGATGATATTCTTCAGTAGCAAAAAGTTGATACAGAAGAGAAAAAAATAGATGGAAAAATACCAAAGAAAATTAAAAAAAAACAGTTTAATTCTTTGAGAAACTAGAATCTCCATAAAATTGGGAATGAAATAAATGAAGGCAAATAGGATAGACAATGTGGAGAAAAGTGAAAAACCATGATAACATTGTACAATCAAAATCCCACAGAAAAAATATCCTGGTCTCAAAAACACTTTGAATCTCATTTCAACCTGGACCAGACTAAACTTACGATGACCACAGAAATGAAATACATACCAATATTCATCCAACCATTACAAAATCTGTCTCCAAACATATACAATAATGAACCTAATGATGAGGAATTTAAGAAAGTTGTTAAAAAAACTAAGGAATAATAAAGCATCATATGACATTGAAACTGAACTTTTGAAAATAACTTACTTTATTCTTGAATTAAATAACAAGTTTCTCTATTTTATGAAAGAAATCTGGGAAAAGAAATGCATCCACAAAAAGTGGAGTTTATCAAGAATTAATGCATTATGGAAATAGAAAGGTAGAAAGATCTACACACTTATAGAGCTATCTCAACTGGATCCATCATAGTGAAAGTATTAATGAACATTAGGTGCTCATTGTTTTATGAAAGTCACCTTCTAATGACCCAGCTTGGTTTTCATTCTGGTAAGTGATGCAATGATGGCATATATATCATCTAACATCTTACAAAAATTGCTTAACTCTATAATAGAAACTGTATACATGCTTTATTGGCCTCACAGCAGCATACGACCATATCAATAGAGACTTCCTCTTCTCATCCAGTAGAAACCATCTTCCAAGCTCCAAATCCACTGAATGCATTGATCTAATAGAAGAACTATTGGACTACAAAATTTTACATGTCTGCTAGGGATTCCAATATGGAAACATTTTAAATCTCATCAGGAGGGAATGAAAGTCCCAGTCTATTTAATATTTTCCTAGACTATGCCCCTCTTCATTTACAAACATAGATATGAAGATTTAAGCATTCCATATCATAACACAGAAAAAGAATCTATCTATGGAAGACTATGATCTCTCTTTCCCTCTCGAGGCCAATGGTGGGGGTGGCTATGCTGATGACATAGATATTCATAGTTGGGATAGGAATGATCTTGAACAAATGTTCCAAGAAATGGGGCCTAACTTAAACCTTTCCAAAACAGAAACTATAATCTCGGATTGGAATGAAAGCAGTGATGGCACATACCCTGAATCCATCATAAAAATTCAGGATGTGGAATTAGTAAATACTAAAAACTTCAAATATCTCAATGTATGCATCAATTACAACAAATTTAGTATAGTAGAAAAGGAAATTGAACATAGAATAGGCTGAACCATGGGTAGTTTTTCCCAATACTGCTACAAAACCAAAACAGAAACCTGAGAACTCAAGGCATGTTCTTAAATAGCCTTTCTAAGATCATTAGTTAAAAATGGACTGGTGCTACAGAATCTCAAAGTACTGTACAAAACTATAGAAACCATATCACTTGAGAACTACCAACAACAGCAACAACTAAAATGGATAGCACATGTAATTTGAAGAGAAAATAATGGTATAATCAAGATGCTGACATTCCACACTACTTCAAATAAAAGGTTAGGAAGAAAACCCCCATCAGTACTGTAAAGAGTGATAATAGCTACTGGAAATGAGAAAGCTGTTTTCCCAAAAAATTGTTTTAAGAGAATGATTTTATTAATTTCTGCTGGAAGAAGTACTGACTGCTTGGTCAATGACTGCCAGATTTTTCAATGTATGGAAATGGTAAATATTACCATTACCATCTATCTATCTATCTATCTATCTATCTATCTATCTATCTATCTATCTATCTATCTATCTATCATTCTAGCTATGTCAGTCTATTCATATCTATTTATTTATCTATGTTAGTTTGTTCAGATCTATGTACCAATCTCAGTCTTTTCAAATCTATCTATCTATCTATCTATCTATCTATCTATCTATCTAGAATTAGTGCTGATAAGAAATAAATTTAAGAAGATGGATGAAAATATGTAAAAAAAAAAAAACAAACAAACATCAATTATAGAAGAAAACCACTCCCCAAAAGAAGAATAGATTGAAAAATATCAAAACCAAACCAAAATAAAATGAAAAAAGAAAAAAAAAAAACTTCAAATGTGAATAATCTGCTTGCTTTTGTGCTTGATTTGTTGGTTCTTTTTTTTTCTTTAAAGATCAGCAAATCAATTATAATATTTTTTATGAGAATAAAATGAATGAAGCAGAAGACAAAAAGCAACTGAGTAAATTTGATATGGATGATAGGAGAAGACAATATAAAAAATGCAAAAAGAAATACGAGATTCAATAAACAAATTCAAAAGGGATAAAAAATGATTGGAATTAGCAGATAAGGTGAACAATTTAATTTGTCTGTATTTTTCATTTTCTTGAGATAAAAATTGTGAATTCAAAACAAACTGAAGAAAAGCAAGGAAGCAAGACAAACTGAAAAATTTATAGGTAGGAAAATATTTAATAATTGTCTTAAAAATAAAGTTTAATATGCATTTTTTGTTGTAAGTAGAGTGTTTTAAGGTGAAAAAGCTTTGAAACTGGAAAGATTTGCTATCAATTGTAGATAAGTGAGCAGATAAAAATGTTTGATTTATTAAATATGGAAGAAAGAAATTGTCTGTGTTCTTCATTTATCAGTTTAATATTTAAAAAATTGACAATGCCTGAAAGTTATGACTCTATTTCAGCAAAGATGAAAAATACTTGAGTACCCATAGTTGTAAAAAAATTAAAACAGCACATACTAGATATGTTAAACATTTGACAATGAATAAAAATACATGAGGTGGTAGTAGCCTTCATTTCAGTAATAATTTTTAATACTTCAAAACAAAGTGATTACCGTTTCATCATCACAGTTGAAATCCTGAGTTTTTACCAGTGAAAATGAGCAGTTACACTCTCAATGAAGCTTCATACTTTGAATGTCTTTTGGGTTTCAAGTTCATTCTAAAAATCTACTCAGCGATGAAAAAATAATTTTTACTGATCAAGAACAATTTTAGGGGAAAGAAATATGACAAACTAGAAAAAGTGTTCATGTGATGGGTGGGAGGGGGTATCCATTAGGACTTTGTTGAACTAAGTTTATGCTTATGTGACTACACATAAACATTACACATGAACAAAAGAGAGATCCTGGGAAATTTAAATTTAAAATAATTTTTTTTAATATGTGTTCTGGGTATGTAATCTTAAATTATTATTTTAAATTTTAAATTCACAGCCTCTCTTTTTTCTTGCACATGTGTAGTTGCATCAACATAAACATAAACTTAGTCTGATGAAGTTCTAAAGAGCTTAAAC